GTACTCTCATATACTGGAGGGTAGTGTGGATAGGGAAATGGTCACTGTGAGGGGAGTAGAGGATGCGGGTGGAGTGTGGGTGGTGAGGGTCAGAGTAGAGAGCGATGTAGTCAAGTTTTCCTCCCCCAATGTGGGTGGGTGAGGGAGGGCAGAGGAGATGTACAGGGGCATCAGTGGTTTGTAGGTAGGAGAACCAGGAGTTACCCGGGGAGTTTGAGTGGGGAGCCTGGGAGCCGAGACTGGGGTGCTGAGCATTGAGGTCCCCCACAAGGAGGTGGAGATGATATGGTGTGGTAGGACAGGTACAGTAGGGGTGGGGGGAGGCACATAGACATTGACAATATTGAGGGACATACCTTTTCGTGTGATTGTAATGACGTGTGCGTCAGTGGTGTCGTCATCAAGGGGGAGGTCAAGAGGTTGGTAGGGAACATCCTTCTTGACGTAGATACGTAGTCCACGTGTGTGTCCTCGTGGTGGTCCAGCAACGCGGAGAACAGTAGTGAATGGGCTCTCAACACATATGTAAACACTGAGCACATAGGTACCAGCAGCACACCGCATATCTTGGAGGCACAGAACGTCGATATCTTCAGTGAAGACATAAGGTTTTGAAGAGACCAAAATTGTTTTGCAAGCCATTTATGTTCCAGCTGAGTACCTGCAGTCCCGTAGCGTTGCTATCCATTGTGGTGTATTTGACTGGTTACAGGAGGGCTGGTTGGGTACATGTGTACCCCTGGCATGGACGAATGGGCCCCAGGAGCCGGCATACCGGTGGGGTACGGATAGCCGGGGATGGTGTCCTCAGGTCCAATAAGGAGCCCTGGTGGAGACAGCACTGACACAGGAGCAGGGGCGGCTTGTGGTGGCTGGACAGGTTGAGGCACCACATGTCAAGGAGATGAGGCAGGACGTGGCTCAGGGGCAGCAGTACACACCAGGGCAGGCTCGGTAGGCGCCACACCAGTAGTGATGGCCAACGGTGGTGGGGTAGGCCGTGAGCAGGGGGGCTCACAGAGGGGCTACCAGATTGTGTCAAACCAGAAGAGGGGAGTGACTGGGTGGCAACAGAAGGCAAGAGTAGGCGGTGTAAGTCGGAGATGGCGGTACAGATTGTAACGAAGAGTTTTTCAACATGGTTGGTAAATTCTTAGAAGAGGGATATGATCTGTGTCATGTCACCAGAGGGGGATTGAGGGGGGTAACCGGTGGGAGCACAAGGCCTGACAGCATCAGATTAGAAACGATGAGGAGGCCCAGTGTGGTTGAGTTAGGAGACAGTAGGTGCTGTTGTGTTGCAGCCAGGGGAGGCCAGGCAGGGGCAGGTGTTGTTGAAGAAGAAGGAACTGCTTGAGACAGATGAGGGGACGCAGAGGGAGGCGGCCCGGTAAACTGAGGGGGGGGGGGGGCATTGTGGTACATGTGGCCTTTGGGGAGGCTTTTCCCCTGGGACAGACGGATGATTGGGGCATTGCCATGAATCAGCATTGTGCCGGCCATCACAGTTACAGCACCTTGGGTCAACAACATGGCCCACACCACCCCTATTAAGGTGGTCTTTGATTTTCTGGGCACAGGCGGTGGAGTTATGGTTACGTGAACAGAAGCGACATCTGGGACAATCCCGTAGGCAACAGGCAGTGAAGGTGTAACCCCAATGAGAACAGAGAACACAAAATGCAGGCCCAGGATGATAGGGTTCTGCATAAAGTGGAGGGAGGATTGACAGCAGCTTGTGGGGTGTTCTCCCGGTGATGTCGATGTATACCGAGTATACTAGAAATAAAGCCACGAGCATCATCAATGTCAGCGTATAGGGGGAATTATTTCACTTGGAGGAGGCAACATTCATCTGCATCTACTGGGGGTGGCTCAAGTACAACCCTGTCAAACCCAACATTACTAAGTGTTTCATAGATCTCAGGAGTCTGACACTTGATAAAGTTCCGGTTCATACTTTTTCGGAATTGAATGTTTAGACCGTGTTGTCTGCAGTACTTCATCGTCCAATTAAACCGTTCCTTGACGGTTTTCAGTGAGTCTTTGGGGAAGTGCAGGTTCAGCTTACTTGGCTAGTTGGCAGAGGGCAGGGTGGTAGGGTCCGTGACATTGGTGTTTCCACTCCGGCTAGTGTTTTCCATTGAGACATTACTGTCAGTGTCACCATCACTGGGGTCTGACTCTTGAAGGGTGTTGGATTCAGTATGACCAGGTGAGATGGCATCCAAGGGAGAGGGGAAGCCTCTTCTGGGGCATTTATTTTCTGTCATGCTGGCAAAACTTGCTGGCTGAGGTCCCCTCAGCTGTCAAGTTTTGTGGGACGATCGGGAAGTCAAGAGCACCTATGGGCACGTCTGTCCCCTTATGTGGTCACGCCACGACTGAAAGTTCAACTGAGTTAAATTCACTTAATATGGTGTGTGTGAGGCACTATGCCCTTTCTACGTTAACCTGGTTCATAAGCCACCCTCCTCTTCTACACTAATAGTTGATTGGTCCACAGAAAATACAATCACAAATGTGTTCACAATTGGTAAACAGACCTGTTATGATCTAAAATAATGTTAAATCTCTGGACTATCAAAATGCAAATGATTTTAAGGCATTAGCACTTCAGAGAAGATGTGAGAAATTTTTTAATATTTATCATAAAAGGTCGATATAAATACACGCTAATATATGAACAATCTGGGGGGAGGTAAGAAGCTCAGGGGAACCAATCAGTTATTTGTACCTATAGATGAGGGGCATGGCTTCCGGGCCAGGTTAGACGATGGAAGAGCGTGTCAAGAGTGACTATTCACCCCTAGTACACTCATCATATACAACCCTATGGCAACTCAAGAACATCAGAATGTCACTTCACAACTTTATGCAGATATCCATTAAACTCAGTTACTGTAAACATTGGGCTGTAGTGGATTCTTCCCCTACAAATGCCGTGTGTCGCTGACTAGCCGACGCCCCGCGAATTCCCCAGTGTATGCCTCATGGGCAAGGTCAGGTAACCAGCGCCCCCGAACAAAGCAGAGGTCTACAATCAAGCCACGCCTACCCCCGCTATATAAGACCTCACCTGGCCGTGACCTGCCTTTTTCTACCTACAGCCACCAGCAAGCAACACCTCCTCTAAGCACGCTCCCCAACCAGCTCTCTCTACTCCACGCTTGTAACCATGCTGCCATTCCCTAGCACCAATCTGCATTGTACATCCAATACAATATATATACAGAGAGCGCATTGTGAGATTCCTTTCTCCATCCCATCCTGAGTGTGAACCAATATCACATAACACCACAAATGGTGACTCCCCAGAGATTCGCACTCACACAGGATGGAGGAGAAACATCTCATGTAAACCTACAATTGGTGACCCCTGGAGCAGTGAACACCACACTCCTTTCTGCTGCCTTACTCCTGGAACTGAGAAGATAGTCCTGCCTGCTGCCAGCCTAGGCCAACCGCCTTACCCGCACCACGTGCTACCCCACTACTCCACGACGACACCAACTCACGACCGTGTGACACACTTCCTCAAGAATGGATGGACGGATCTCTCTACTGACTTTCAACCACAACGTCGAGGACTGGTTAGTTCATGTGGAAGCAATCCCCATCGGCTTACAAGCTACTGACGAGCAAAAGTACGGCGCCCTGCTCTGTTCCTTGCCCACGGAAGTCGCCACACAAGTATCACGGACTATTTCCAACCCTCCAGAGAACAACAAATTCGCCACCCTGCAGGACACCTTAAAAACGCATTACCGACGGACCCGCCCCAGTCTCCTGCAGAACCTATCTTCTATCTCCCTTGGAAACTCAACTCCGGGACTTCTCTGGGTGGAGATGTGTAGGCTGAACTCCCGGCACACAGACAGACTTCCCAACCCTATCCTGCGACTGCTTCACGCACAAAAGCTCCCCACACAAGTACGTATCATCCTGTCCGCAGTAGATTACTCGATGACACCTGAACTCTACGCAACCGCGGCAGACAGAATATTCAACGAGTGCGCAGCTGCGTGCCTGGCTGCCACGGACAACCCAACGACCACACCAGTACTTACCTCCGAACTTGTAAGCCGGGTTAACACCCCTCAGCCGAGCAATACCTCACAAGACATCAAGGACCTGTTGCAAACTTTGAACTGCAGGATGGACACCATTGAACAGTCCTGCTCCTCCATGCCTGCTGCTGGACCTGTTCCTAACTCACGCACCACGTCCTACCGACCCCAACACACCCATCCTGCCTCAGACGCCGCCCCCAGCACAGTGTATCTACCCCCCATTGGTACCATCAACGTTTTGGTGCTAATGCAAGAGGCTGTGAGGCCCCCTGCAACCACACGGCGAAGTGACATCGACGGAGACGGGTAGGAGCCATAACCTCCGCCACTATCAAGCAGCACATCACACGCCTTATTTCTGACCTTGACCACTTCACTCCTGCTGCCCGTCATGACCTACTACAAACACTACGTCAGGCGGTTTTTGCATTCAAGGCTACTGCCCCACGCCAACCTTCCCACCGCCCTGAACACATTAATCCCGCACCTCCTCCGCCAGTCTGCCCACAATTACCCCTTGCAGCACCACCTCGCCCACAACATTTCTGGGCACCCTCTTTTCTTCCTCAGGTACCCACTGCGCCTGTCATGGACCCTCCTCCCGACGTGGCCCCTGCTCCTGACGGGGACCCAGACACCCCACCCGGCGCCACTGAGGACTGCGTACCCGCTGCGAGAGAAGCACCATATTCCTCGCCTGTAAAACCTTCTCTTATCCACAAACCTACTCCTCCCTCTACTTCTCCCACAGATCTTGTGTCTCTAGACAGAGTCGTCTCCCGTAGCAGCCGGCTCATCCACACCCCCGCCCATTATGTCTCACATGTGGGAAACAACCCTGCCAACAACAAGTCTTCTGCACCGCCCGGAGGGAAGGGGGAGTATTGTAGTGGATTCCACCCCTACAAACGCCGTGTGTCGCTGACTATGCGACCCCCCATCGAATTCCCCAGCGTATGCCTCATGGGTAAGGTCAGGTAACCAGCGCCCCCAAACAAAGTGGGTCTACAATCAAGCCACGCCTACCCCCGCTATATAAGACCTCACCTGGCCGTGACCTGCCTTCTTCTACCTACAGCCACCAGCAAGCAACACCTCCTCTAAGCACGCTCCCCAACCAGCTCTCTCTACTCCATGCTTGTAACCACGCTGCCACTCCCTAGCACCAAGATGCATTGTACATCCAATATAATATATATACAGAGAGCGCATTGTGAGTTTCTTTTCTCCATCCCATCCTGAGTGTGAACCAATATCACATAACCCCACAGGACTATGAAAATCAGTGTTATGGGTCAGATTAATTTCTCAAGGCTATTGCTTACAATCTAATGAGTGTTTGAGCTTGCAATGTAATAATTAAATTGATGTCAAACACACAGGTTGGCAATAGTATTTTATACAGAGTCATCAAAACGCTTTTCTTTTCTCACCGTTAGATTTTATGGTTATAAGAAGGTGACATGTTTCTTTCAAATGATTAATGAATTTCCTAAATACACAACTGAGAATAATTTCAACATGGTCATTAGATTCTGCGATAACTGTGAATCAAAACAATCTGACTTCAGTGCCAATGAAACTCTATTATGTCTCACAGGGTAGGGGATATGATTCTCGCCTCTATTGCAAACTCTCACACAAAAACTTACTTGACAATTTTATTAAAATTAATACAGTTGAAGCTTTCAACATCACTCGCAATGGCTCTTGAATGTTTCAGCTGTAAGCAGGTACATCTAACTTACTGTAACCGTATTCATTCATAATTTCAAATCTCAGAACACAACACGAGATACTAAGAGATTCTGAAACACATGAGAGAAAACAGATGTCTCGGTATTACTGAAGCAGCAAGAAAATGGACATCTTTGAAGGGGGACTCAATAAATAAGTTATAGTTACATGTTTTATGGGCTATGAAGCGTAATATGAATAATCTGATTTTACGTTAACTAGCATGTATGACTGTGGTTAGTACAGTGGAACTACGAGGAACACGGGAGAGGTGAACAGAGGAACAACACTTATGGAGTCGGATCAGACAGAAAGAGGACGAAATTGGAAAGGGACAGTTACTTATGACAACCTAGGAGGCTGTAGGTCGTCTTGCCAATGGTAGATGTCAAAGTTCTAGGAAAGGGAATATGTCTGGGAAATACGGTCAGGACTCTGGAACTTTAGATTCAGGCAATGACAGATCATTCTGCACCTAACAATTAGCGAGGGAATTAGGAGTAAGAACATTTGTGCAGGAGTCAACATAGTGGATGTCCTTAGTTGATTTAGAAGTTGTAAGTAAGTGCTGGTCTGAGGAAAGCGAGGATGGTTTATCTGCCTTATCTGGCTGGAGTCTTAGTCATAGAAAGTCTCCCGTTGGCATTAAAGGAAGCAGTAGATACAACACGTGACATCTCGAGATGGAGACACCTCCAGGGAGTTGTAACACGTGACCAAGACCATACGGTAGAGACTAGTTAATTCCACTGGAGGTCAGAGAGAAGATGGAGCCCCATCGCAGTAAGGACACGCCTTGGTTGGATGGTGAACGGTCCCTTGGATGAACAGTGAATGGATATGCACCTGAGCACTGGGATGCCTTGAGGTTCCTCTGGTGGGACAGTGAAGACTTAACATTGTTATGAGTTGGGGATTTCGAATATAGTTAAAAGTCTACCCAGATCCCAACAGGCAACAACAATAAAAAACAAAGACAATCGGACTATAAAAGGGTAGACAAAGGATGCGAGTTTTTGTTGCGTATAATAAAGTACCATAAATTCCCTAACAAAATATTCAGCTTTCTATAATTTACCCTTAACCATACTTAACCTAAACATTAACAGTATATGCATATTTATACAACATAAAACAATCATGAAGCAAGTGGACGCGGGGAGGCAATATAAGATTACAAATACTTAAGTGCGGAGCTGAGATGGCTGACGAGCAAGGCTGAGTATTGTAGAAGACGGTAGGTAGTCACTGTGCCGTAGGTTTCCAGGATAGGTGATCCTGTGGTCACTTCCCAGAGTGAACTGAACTCTCCTCGAACTCGAGCTGACAAAGAAGACTCGGAGGAGGTGACACAACAACCAGGATATGGAGAAGGGAAACCCCGGAGTGGTAACTAAGACGAGTCATACTCGTGTCTCGTCCCTAGATGGCGTTGCTCGTGGTGCTGGGTAGGTAGATCAGGACAATAGATGGCGTGGTTCGTAGTGCTGGGTAGGTAGATCATGACAATTGGTGGCGTGGTTCGTAACAACATAAAGACTGTGTTCCTATCGAATGAAGTTTCATCTCTTTGGAGGAGTGTGAAGCCCGTCGTGCGCAATGTACACCCTTCGATGTACCTTCCATGATTATAACGCTGAGTTCCTTGCAACTGTGGTACAAGCGGAATGTAATCTTTACGTGGATGACTTACTTACAGCGATGGAATCCCCAGGGGATGCTACAAGAATGTATCAGTAATTGCAACAGATATTATCAAAGGGAAGTTTAGGGGTTATGAATTGGGTGAGTAACATGAAGGGATAAAGGAACTCAACCTAATTCAAGACATATAACCACTAAAACATGCCTTAGGCATGGTATGGGATCTAGAGAATGACCAGCTTGTTGCCAAGGTTCAAGTAGAACACTGACCCACTACAAAGAGGGGACTTTGAGCATTGTTAGCTCAGTCTAGGACTCTCTTGGGCTTGTTGCACCATTACCCATCAAGACAAGAATGATAAGTGCAGGCGAAAAGGAGGATGGGACGAGCCGTTACTGGAGCACAATAACACAGCATGGAAATAATGGTTAAGAAACCTACTGAACATGGCAAGTCTCTGCATTCCCCAATGATACAAGAATAAAGCTTAGATGAGCTGCCTCAGTCCAGTTGCATATACTATAGTATTGTGATGCATCACAGACAGTGTACAGTACGGTTTCCTATCTCAGAGTGACAGACGACCTAGGAAGGATCCACTGTCCTTTTCTATATGACAGGGCAAAGTTGGCTCCCCTCAAATAGCAAACAATACTCCAAGTGGAACTTTGCGCAGCTGTCTTGGCTATCAATGCTGACAGAACAATAAAAGAAGAACTGATCATGGAGTTCGAAGAATCGTTCTTTAGGACTGATAGCATGTTAGTTCTCCAGTATCTTGTAAATGCCATTTGATGATTCCATACTTTCATTGCAATCAGGTGGTTATGATATAGGAACTGTAAGAAACAAAATAGTGGAGGCACTTGGGTACGTTGATGAATCCAGCGGACGATGCAACCCAAGGACTTTCAGTGGGAGACCTGATGATGACTGTCAATGGATCCAAGGGCCAGCTTTTCTGAGGAAAGACAAGGAACACCGGCCAGAGAAGCCGAGACTACCACTGAATCTAAGTGCCGACATGGTAAAGCAGAAAGTGGTGAATTTGGCAATTGGTAGCTTAGTCACAGGGGACACATAAACAAAAAATGCTTTGCATATATTGTGGGCTAGATTTTCATCTTGGACCCATTTACTGGAAGGAGTAGCTTGGCTCAGATGATTCATAAAATGGCTTGGAGAAAAAACCCACCAGTGAAACAAACACGGCAGAATAAGTGTGGCAGAGGTGCAGGAGGCCAAGGTGGCTAACCTACCCTCAGTGCAAAGGGAGTGTTATCCGGACGAGATGAAAGCACTTGCTAGGGGTTGTTACGCCGTTTCTTAATTTACTTTAATATCCAGGTTCTAGGCGTAACCAAACAAAAAAAAGTGAAGTAAATCAAAAGGGGATAAAAATAAATAAAGTAAACCTTTAAGAATCTAATTAAATTAAATACTTACACAATAAAGAGCCTCATAGGCTGTCACAACAAATTGATTCACTATCGAAACTTTTAAGACACAAATGATACTAAAACATCGAAACATCAAAAGAACTGCTTAAACACTAGAATAAAAATAAAGCACTGGATTACGTTAACACTGCATAAACATATAAAATAACTAACACTGAAATTAACTATCGTAAAACAACACTGAATTACTTAAATTTAACTAAGCAAGCACTGATGGACACATAAGAGACATGAATAGGTACTCACATAGATATACCACATTGGTGGAAACAGGAACAACACAGAAATAAAATAAAGTAAAAGTAACAGGTGACGGGTGTCACTCAAAAGAATGTGGACTGAATGACAGGAGGACTGGACTGAACTCCGTCTGCTGGTGGGTACTATATATAAGGTCGGCTCCCGCCAGTGCGACACGCCGGTGAAACATGGGTCGTTTAACGATGCAGATGGTCGTTAGAGAAACAAAGAATGCTTGTTACAATACTAAATGAAGAAATAAGATGGGCTTGAACAAATAATGACAGTTAAAACCTTAACAACACAGGGTAAGGTGACTAGAATATATAATAGTAAATATAACACATCATTACAGGAATAATATGGAACAACATTGAAGCATGTTATAAAAAATAATAGAAAAATACGACACGGTCGTAACAGGGTACAATGAGGGGGCAAAGTGAGCTTCGCAGACTCCAGCCATTTTTGGGCGAGGATGAATTAATCTGGGTGGGTGGTCAACTGAACAATGGCCTCTATCAATGGGGCAGCCAGCATCCCATCCTACTTTCTTATCAACATCACGTAACTGAAATCTTAGTGCAGGACATACATGAAAATCAGGCTGGGCACACCAGAAGAGAACATACGTCGGCTTGTTTATTGCAGTAGTTTTGGATTTCCGATGTCGCTGACTGCTAAACAAGATCACTCGGCTCTGCCGCCGTATCAATTGGAAGCCTGCACAGCAGCGTCAAACTCAGGGCCGGATTAAGCTTAATAGGGGCCTGAGGCACAGATCAACTTGGGGCCCCCTACCCTCAAGGTATATATATATAGCAAGAACAAAATATACCAAAATTTATCAATGATTTCATCAATATTAACCTTCTGCAAAATAACACATTCAATGTTCATAAGAGACAGAAAATTGAGACGTTGCTAGGACATCGTTGAACGAAGTTCATGTTTTATATGCTTCAACGTCGAGAATGTTTGGATTTGGGGGCCCCTTAGAGTCAGGTGGCCTGAGGCCAGTACCTCAAGTGCCTCATGGTTAATCCGGCAATGGTCAAGCTGACTTACCGGAGGACCTAGTTACTTCAGGTAACCCCATTTGCTTACACAGGGGTGGATTGCTTCTGACCTTTCAGCATTAAACAGGAGCGTAAACGTCCCAAGAGGTGGGGATGTCTGTCCACATGCCTGACCACTCATGCTACACACCTTGAGGTTCTTGCCTCACAAGATGTTGATGCCATTCGCAATGCCATAGAGAGATTCTCGACCCATAAAAGTACCCCAGAACGCATTATCAGACAACGGCATATACATGGTTAGTGCTGACAAATAATTGAAAATGGCAGTATAGGTACACAGTTGGGCACAATATGAGGCCATTCGGGATGCCTTCTTGAAGACAAATAGACTGAGTCTTCAATCCCCCCACAGCATCAGACATGGAGGATGTGTGGAAACAACAGATACGGACAGTAAGGAAGGTTCTACAAGCACTCATTGGATCAGAAGTGCTAGACAATGAATGTCTTCAGACCTTTTTTTGCGATGTGGTAGCTGTAGTGAATGAATGGCTGATTACCCCTATTTCAGATGATGTCAATGATCTGGAGGCACTCATGCCTATGCCCATCTTACGCCCTGGTACAACATGCAATCTTCCCCGAGGTGGCCTACTGGTGAAGCAGTCGTATTGCAGGAGATGGAAAAATGATCAGTTCCTAGAGGACCTATTCTGGAAATGTTGGATGCAGGAATACGTGCCTTTGTTGAGAATCTGTCAAACCCATCTCAAACCACAGCGCAACTTTCGACCAAATGACATGGTCATCGTAGCCAGGAAGGCCAACTCTTGGAATCAATGGCCACTCATCAGAGCAATAGAGTAAAACCTGTTAATGATGGACTTGTGAGACGTGTCAAGATAAAGACTGCATGTAATGTGTTGATATGCCCTGTGGTAAAACTGAATCCTAGATGGCATTTTGGCAGTGAAAAACATACTTCCTCTGGGTATGTAGACAAGGTGCCGAACTTCTCAGCCTTGGCAAGGAGCACTCTTGTGCATTTTGGGATGTTTTGGCAGTTCTATTCTTTATAACCGATTTGTGTGACTTAAGTGTGCGCTCTCAATAGGGGGAGTGTTACCTCCTCGCACTGGGCGAGCGTCACTTGTGAAATTTGGGATAACACACGAAGTAAAGTTGGCCCTTAACATACGCGGGGGTTAGGTAACAGAGATACCCGTGAATGTTAAAAATCCGTGTATTTTTGCTGTCCCCCCCTAAAAAATGCCTGGCCCCCAATGTCCTTATTTACCGTATATACCTGTGTGTAGTTCGAGTTTTTAAGACCAAATTATTTGGCAAAAAATTGGGGGTTGACCTCTAAACGGGTAATAGTTTCAAAATAGTCGAAAAATATTTACCAGTAAACAATGGAAATGACGCACCACTAGCTGTGAGTGTCGGTACAGTTGCCAGGGCAGAACTCTTGCGTCATCATAGCAAGCCCAAAGTAGCCAAATGCATGGTATGGTATGCACAGGACGATGTAAAACATAAAGTATTCATTTTTTAAAGTTTATTTATAGATACGTACTGTACAGTACTACCCCGCTTTACACAGTTTCACTTTCCGTGATTTCTCATTTACGCGGTACCTTGCCAGAACCAGACTTTCACTTTCCGCGGTGCATCTACTCATATACACGGTGAAGTATAATTTTTTATTTTTTTATTTAGCTCATAAAATTCATACAAATTACCCGGCCAGAATATAATTTACATTGCTGGAATTCTTACAATATGATGATCATTTTGAATATAAACATCATGGATTTTGCATTAGACATACAAATTTTAGATCTAATGTAATAATTTGGTTTACACAAAGCAAATATTTTATCTTTTGTGCAAAATATATGAAGTTTACATTCAAAATATTCCCTGACCTGCAAGGAATCCATAAATGTCAATTATATTATCCTAACTGTAGTCTGAGTTATTATTTATTACTAAAAATGTAAATATACTATTTTCTCCCAATCCCTTCTCTGGTAGGGAGGGAGGGAGGGAGGGAGGGAGGAACTAACCCAGCTAGGGCGGAGTATTTTGATTGACAGATAGTGTCCTTGAAGAATATTTCTTTGTTTATTTACTGAAGATATATGTTTTAGCTCATAAAATTCATACAAATTACCCGGCCAGAATATAATTTACATTGCTGAAATTCTTACAATATGATGATTATTTTGAATATAAACATCATGGATTTTGCATTAGACATACAAATTTTAGATCTAAAGTAATAATTTGGTTTACACAAAGCAAATATTTTATCTTTTGTGCAAAATATATGAAGTTTACATTCAAAATATTCCCTGACCTGCAAGGAATCTAGAAATGTCAATTATATTATCCTAACTTTAGTTTGAGGTATTATTCATTACTAAACGTTAAAATCTAGAGTTTTCACCCACACATTTATCTGGTAGGGAGGGAAGATGGGGGGGAGGGTTGGGACCAACCGACCGAGCTGGCGTCAGTGTGAGGAGGGGGGGGGGAGGCAAGGTGGGGTACTTTGATTGACAGATAGTGCCTGAAGAATATTTTTTTTTTATTCACTGAAGATATGTGTTTTAGCTCATAAAATTCATACAAATTACTCGACCAGAATATAATTTACATTGCTGGAATTCTTACAATATGGTGATCATTTTGAATATAAACATCATGGATTTTGCATTAGACATACAAATTTTAGATCTAAAGTAATAATTTGGTTTACACAAAGCAAATATTTAATTTTTTGTGCAAAATATATGAAGTTTACATTCAAAATATTCCCTGACCTGCAAGGAATCCATAAATGTCAATTATATTATCCTAACTTTAGTCTGAGGTATTATTTATTACTAAACGTTAAAATCTAGTGTTTTCACCCAAACATTTCTCAGAGAGGTAGGGGCCAGTGAGCTGGGAAGAGGGGGGGGGGGGATTTGAGTCCATTATTTGAATGGACATTAACCTGGCGACTGTATTTCTCTTAAATATTAATTGTGTGAGCATACCATCATAAAATTTAGATGTTAATTTTACTACAACATAGGTATTGTGTCGGAAAAAGTGGAGTTTGGGGGTCGGGCCAGTCTCTATTGGAATTAATCCCATATGTTCTGTTGTTCACTTTAAGCGGTTTTCACTTTCCGCGGTACCCTGTGGGTTCAATTGACCGCGTAAATCGGGGTACTACTGTACATAAATTTTTGTTCATTACATTTGAAACGTCAATCTTTGTTAATTAAATTTGAAACAAAAGAAAACTACAATACCGTATTTTCATTAATATATTACTTCACAAGTATATTTTACCTTAACTGTGACTGAATGAATATATTCTCAGAAATAAATATGGAAATGTAATATTTTGGCTGAAATGACGTATATATTACAGTGGAAAGTGGGATAAAATCATGACGAAAACAATGACTTTTGCTTTCTTTAGTTGTTCAAAAGATTTTACCGTAATTGCTTTTCGAATGGTTTTCAGTTAAAAAACTGTTGTACTGTATTACAATAATATTCTATCCTATCACTAGCCTCATAATCCCACAACTGAAAACCATTCGAAAAGCGATTACGGTAACATCTTTTGAACGAAAGAAAGCGAAAGTCATTGCTTTCGTACGTCATTTCAGCAAAAATATTACATTTCCAGATTCTCAGAAATAAATAATAGTTTTGTTGAAACGTAATGTACAGTATTTAATATTAAAATGCAAAAAGAGCTATAAAAACAATTAATACTGTACACCCGTAATGTACTGGCTGGCATCTCCACTCGTCCCTGCTCCTGCCTCCAGCGTCACCACTCCTCCCCGCTCTATCCCTCTGGCTCCTCCACATCGTCACTACTGTTGTATTACAATAATATTCTATCCTAATTCACTAGAATAAATACTATGATACCATATTTCTGAATATTTTCATTAAAATCCATCAAAATCATTTTCCTTGTCATCGTCTTCAGCACCAAACAGCTCCTCCCAGTCTTCTCTTTGAACAGGGCTAGAGGATATGTGTTTTTTTAATAATTTTCAGTTAAAAAACTGTTACATCACATGTATATTTTACTTAAACTGCACCTGAATGAATATATTCTCAGAAATAAATAGTAGTTTTGCTGAAACGTGATGTATTTCAATGCAAAATAGGATAAAATACATGACGAAAACAAAAGACTTTACCTAACCTTCAGATATTCAAGAGATGTTACTCGTTTTTTTAATAGTTTTCGGGTAAAATACTGTTATATTACAATGATATTCTATTCATACTGTGCTTGATATACTACATTCACGGAAATGTAATATTTTTTGCTGAAATGACGTACGTATTATAGTGGAAAGTGACGAAAGCAATGACTTTCGCTTTCTTTCGTTCAAAAGATGTTACCGTAATCGCTTTTGGAATGGTTTTCAGTTAAAAAACTGTTGCATCACAAGTGAATTAGGATAGAATATTATTGTAATACAACAGTTTTTTAACTGAAAACCATTCGAAAAGCGATTATGGTAACATCTTTTGAACGAAAGAAAGCGAAAGTCATTGCTTTCGTCACTTTCCACTATAATACGTACGTCATTTCAGCAAAAATATTACATTTCCATATTCTCAGAAATAAATAGTAGTTACAGTGACCCCTCGTTTAACGAACACCTCGGTTAACGTAATTTCGATTAACGAACTGCCTTCCATAAGGATCTTCAATTCGGTTAACGAAAAAAAAATCGGTTAACGAAGTTCGTACGAACCGACCTCAACATGTTTTCGCTTGCACTGACCGGGCAACCAGCTTTAGTATCAGTCTGCCAATACATTAATCGGTTCTAGGGCTTAAATTCCTTACTATTTTAGTAAATATCAAGAAGTTTATACTATTCAATAATTTTAAAAGTTTAATATTCAATTTTTTAGTCATTTTAACAATTATTGAACATAACTGAAGGTAAAGTGACTAGTTTAATGCGCGGCATCCAGCCTCTTAACACAGCAAACAGGCGTTAGTCTCTCTCTGTTTTCACTGGAGGTAACATCTTGCTTGAGACTCACTTCAACTAAACGCTTTTTTTTGTGTTTCCAAGCAAATTATTGGTTATTTTGAAATATATTTTATATATTGACAATATATAATGCAGTGCAGTGTTGATTTAAAGAAAATAATCTTGAAATACACCAAGAGAACTAAAATTTTATGGGTGAAATGGTGCCATGGGGTGACTTTCCTTCCACCCCAATGCCTTCTCTTCTTCCTTCTCCTCCACCCCCATTCTAATTCCCATCATCATCATCATCATCCAGGAGCCTTCTACATACATACCTCAAAGTAAGTGAACTTTTCTACCATTTTTGTTGAATTTAGGAACTTTTCGGTGAGCTGGAACCAATTACCCAAAAACCCATTGAAACAATGGTTTCGGTTAACGAAGTTTTCGGTTAACGAACGACCTTCTGGAACGGATTGAGTTCATTAACCGAGGGGTCACTGCACTTCAATTACTTCAATGTACAGAATATTCCTCTGGCGGGGCAATCCAAGTATTTGCAAATCCGTGTATGCTAAACCAGCGTATGTTAAGGGCCGATTGTATGTCCAAAAAGAAACCAAACTTGCTAAACAAAAATTTTATTGCTTAACTTACAACTTAATCAGACTTTTCTCCTTCAAAGTACTCCCCTCCACTATTGATACACAACTCCCAACATTTTTTCCAGTTCTGGAACGCGTTTTGAGGGGTGGTGCGCAGGTCTCATAACGAATTTTCTTCTATCGTCTGAAACCGGCGACCTTTCAGGGTGGATTTCAACTTTGGGAACAAAAAAAAAGT